GGAGGAAGAAACCAATCGACAGCTCCCCTTGTTTCAACCCTAGCAAGACGAGCTGACAACATCTGTTCCACGAAGCCACATTTAACTACTGAACTAAGCCACCTCAAATAATTAACATAATTTGTGAAAAGAAATATCGTACATATACAGTGACATTTGTGCATGCATGTGAATTGCCGCACATAAAGAATATTTGACAAGTACAAAATAACAAAACACTCAAAATGTTTCCAATTTATAGTGAAAAATTTAATGTGGGTTATTTATTGGGAACGGAACATGAAAATATACAAAAGGTCATATTCAGTATGGTCCCCTAAAATAACATAAACTAAATCATATTCCTCATATATATCGCCATACGTTTTAGAACTAACAGAAATCATTACCGCAGTAAATGGGGTTTTACGAAATTGTGGACTATTTATCCAAGTTCTGGTCGTATCCCACTTCTGGTCGCTACAGCCGTCAAATAGTTGGAATATTGCTGAGTGCGGCGTTAAACAACAAACAAACACAATGTTGTATCGTGGTCAACTGCAATTATAAGTGATATGTGTCTGTAAATGTAAATATAAATGCAAACATGCTTAGTCTGGGTGAGATCAATACTGACTTTAAAACGAGGCGTCCTGAGAAGCAGTTATTTAATGCAATAAGTCAGTAGGATTTATCTCCCTTTACATCAATATGGAACACCAACAAGCTTTCTCTCTCCCTCTATCTGTTTACCACAGTAGAGCAGGAAGAGTTGTCTTTCTTTTTATCGAAAGGTTACAGCAGCATGTTTTGACGGTCGACTCACGTCCCTGTCTCCTGCTTGCTCCGCGTAGCTGATGACATCATATAATTCTCTCTTGTGTTAGTGACTATTGACTGGAGGTCAGACATTGAATACATTGAATTGACTGGTCGGTTCCCTTCTTCGCCAAAGTTCAGTGGGGAAACAGGTCTACTAAAATCACATTGATGCCAAATTATTACATTACATTACTGCTGAACTGCCTTAATTATTGTACGGTTGCTCAATTCTGCAAATTGTAGATTGAACAAAATATTGCTCAAATACCAGCACTTATTTACCACAGAATGGAATACAGGAACGTGTATGTTGTGTTACATCACCGCCTACAGTACGTCTGTCTGTAATGGACTGGACTGTGGGTGTATTGCATGCGGTCAGGTGAAATGGGGTTCAACCTCGCGTTCAAGATAATTTCACTTATAAAGCATTAGAGTGTGTATTTGTGTGTGCTTTGCTGCTTTAACTTAGTTTGTTTTGTTTGTTTGCTTGTTGTTTAACGTCGCACTCAGCAATATCCCAGCTATATGACGGCGGTCTGTAAATAATCGGGTCTGGACCAGACAATCCAGTGATTAATATCATGAGCATCGATCCACGCAATTGATATTAAGCACTGGATGGTCTGGTCCAGACTCGATTATTTACACACCGCCGTCATATTGCTGGAATATTGCTGAGTGCGGATTTACCATGTTGTGTAATACAATGGAATACATTCTGAATACAATGGAAATACTAGTCATATTCATGTGATCAAGGAAGGATTTTTTAACAGGTAAGAGATACATTTTAAGATTGCAATTTAATTTAATTTGATGTAATTTGTTATCCGCACATTCGTACATTAAATTATGTTCATAAAAACATAAACATTGGGTTATCTTACGTTTGAAAATATTTATTCTCCAGTTTGTGGCCCTTAGGGGTACTATTTGCTCTTCCATCTAGGAATATATTGTCAAGATCAGAGGTTGTATGTGTTTACATCATAATATGATAGCTTGAGCAGCTGACGACAAATGTCGTTTCCGTGTTTGTTTAACTGATTTTTTCAAAACAAATTTCTGAAGATGTTTGTGTTATTATAGTCACCAGAATTGTCCAGATTGGAGAGTATAATGTCAAAATCATCGTCACTCCATTCATCTGCAGGGTCGAGATAGACATCAGCAAAACTTCCTGTATCGGAATTCGTGAGCTCTGCCATCTTTATGGGCAAGCACAAAGTGCACATGCATATCTTTAGCGGTAAAGAGGCCGTTAAACCAGCTGTTTTTCAATCAGAGGGGGTTTATTGTGATTTAATAGCCTCTGATTGATCAATCAGAATCGAATAAATTCCAAATTCATGGTAGAATGATGAACAGCTGCCAAAGACAAGCATCCATAAAGAATGAATGCTTTGGATGTTTCAAGTATTAGATGATTTCTACTTGGTTGTGTCTTGTTAATATACCTGGCATATTGTTTCCTTTGATGAATATCACTACGAAACGGACTCATGATATAATTGTAGACATGTTAAATGATTGACCGATGAATGTTGAATTGTTCTCAACGAAATTTCGTATTTTATTTATTTTGGTTTTACTGACCTCAGCTTTTTAGAGCTTTTTCAGCTCTGTAATGTCGGCTATGAGACATATAGTAATAAATAAATGCTGTTAACGTTGTGTGGATGGTACGGATCTCGGTGTTCTCATCTGTTTTGGTGAATGACACTTCAAAATGTATTTCCTCTATAACATATCTTTTCAGCTTAATGTAAGTGGAAAGTGATGCAGACCTAAAATAATGACCACTAGCATGACAAAGGACCAATATCAAACCTGGGACTCAAACCCATGATCATTGAATCCAGGCATGCATAAGGGAAGCAACTCTGCACAGGTATTTGGTGACGGATGATTGGAACACGGGTGTCACCTTCGAAGGGTTGAATGACATGAATCAGTTTGTGTGGAATGTACCACAGGTGATACTGAGCTGTGGGCGTCTAAGTGAATTTCAGGATGTAGTCAGTGATACAGATTCGTCTTTCGTGATCATGAAGTTATTTGCAATGTATATGAATGATACCAGTGTTAAATGGTAAGGCTAGGTATGTGAGTTGAGACTACCACATATTTGATCAGTATTTACGTTATGTTACAAGTTGTAACTTACAACATATCAGCTACTGTTAACTGTATATCTTTTAGCTGTAAATTATTTTGAATGGATGTGAATGATGGCAAAAAGGAAAATGTCTATTACTTGTGTTAATTATGGATTTCAACTTCTTATTTATATCTTTTGACAACTTTCCCATTTTCATAGAAACTTTCAAAAACTACTAGGACAGGTAAATACTTCTTTCCTTCACTGAAATGCCATGACAGGCTTTGTATTGTGTTCCTGTGTAGAACTTGTACACAATGATGCAGGCGTCAGATTAGCTGTTTTAGTCAGAACCTTGTTATTGCGATTTGAAACCTCTGACTTAACCAGAGTCAATTGTCCACCAAACTTGTGGTGGAATAAGTAATAATCAGTTAACTTTAACAGTGAACATGTTGCTGCTGAGTAATATGTGCTATTTGTGTGAGTATGACGGCTCCTTTGTCAAGATAATTGAGATTCATATGGTGTTTTGTGTCTAGTCAGAAAGCAGATATGCACCAACTACACGGATGTTTACAAAAGTCCATGATTTCTGTTAACAATTGTTTGTACTTTTCCCGCCACACTTTTCATTATGAAGAATGTGCTGAAGTCCAAATGTAAAAGTAGTTTTATGTTGAACTTGGACATTGCAGGTTGAATAATCTTGAACGGGTTACTTGATTCCTTATATTCCTTGTCGAGGTCAATGGTGCTCATATCTTGGCTTGATGATTTTTTTTCTCCCTGTTTGAATGGGCGGAGTCAATAATGTAGAATGTCTTGCTTCTTGAATACAGTGAATTAAACGCATATCCTGTGCAGATATTTCGGTGCTTTAGGTCTGCAAGGTCGGCCCCATTTGCTGTTCCTGTGCCATGTAAAGTGTGCATGTTGACAATATAACAAATAGAATGCAATGTCTTTTTCAACATATTATGCACAGAATGGTTTGTACGCCGATTTTGCTTACATAGGAGTAAATAAAACAATATACAATACCTTCAACAAGTGTGTGTTTCATCATTATCATTAAGATGCATAGATGCATACAACCTCACTCTTGGGAGAAAATAGTAGGTGCGAATTATACATTGTGATAACACGCTTCTGTGGGCATAGTATCAGTATTCTCTGATAATATAGTAGGGAAGTGTAACAGGTTGTGTTAACATGGATCTGTAGGCACACCGTCAGTAATCTTTGATAATATTATAGGTAGATCCGGGATAGAATAGGTCATCAGGAACCCATTCTTGCTAGAAAAGGCGACAATGCTTGTCATAAGAGACGACCATTGGGATCGGATGGTCTGTCTCGCTGACTTGGTGATGCATATCATTGTGTCCCAAACGTGTGGATTGTTGCTCATGATGTCAATAACTGGATTGACTGGTCCAGATTCGATTATTTACAGACCTCTGTCATATAGCTGGAATATTGCTAAGCTTGGCGTTAAAAAACAACCAAAACTTGACAGCAGATGACAGAAGCTAAAATTGGAGTTACTCCCCTTAGATCTATTTCATGTGCAAAATATAAATATCTTGAGAAAGGCGCCTTACATTGTAATGTGATATTCTTACATCAGAGTGCGAGATGCAAAGTGTAACTGCAACAGTTCGACAATTCAAGCAGTGAACATGGGAAATGTACCTTTCATATTAGAAGAGTGCATTGAAAATAATGGGTCTCAGTCAATCAGTATCAGAAGGTTAGATTCATTGAGATAACATGGATCTCTATGCATATGATACCCGTGAAGATCCGGGGTATAATAGGTCTTAAGCAACCCATGCTTGCCGTAAAGGGTGAATCATGATGTCAATCACTGGATTGTCTGGTCCAGACTCGATTAGTAAAAGACCACCGTCATATAGCTGGAATATTGCTGAGTGCCAAGTTAAGCAACAAACCAATCAACCAACTGTGCATACGATCAATAAGTTATGATAATACATAAGGTATGTATGGCTACACTTGATACATCTATTTGCTGTCAATTTTGAGCATCAAATTAAAATCAATAAAAATATACAAAGTAACACAAGGATGAGATTCATATGATTTAATTACTTATTCATAGCTATGCACAAATAAAAATATACATATGTGTATACTTAGCCACTAAACGTTTGATAGGGATAATCAGATATGTCATTCTATTTAAATAAACACTTGACATATAATGAGAATCAGTTTTGTGGAGAACTCTATTAATCATGATGAGACTGCAATTTCATCCACATATACAACAAATATGGGTCATGATTAACACAGAATACATGCAACATACAAATTACACTGACATAGATGAATGTCACCAGGTGAAATAAACACTCAATCAAATTGGATTTGTACAACGATACAATATTGGTTTGCACTAACGTTTAACATATTGTGTACAAAGTTACATTGTGGTAAGCTGTTGTACATACAGTGAAACCTGGTTAATCAGGTTAGTTTAATGCAGCTTTAAGCAGTATTTCGGTCCTATCATGGCGTCTCAGCTTAATGTAGAGGAAACGCCTAAAGTGATGCATTCCTCAGACATCAATAACTGATGTTCTCCCAACGAACACGGGAACCAAGAATCATAATCAGGGATAATCCCTCCTCCCGAGGCAAGGGAGATAACCGACTATAAAGTCCTGTTCCCACCCTTTGAGTTCCTAAATTAAAAACATGAAAAGATTTGCAAAATCTTTTGTCGATGCCCAGATGGCAGTGCACATACTTTGCACATCTTGCAGTCAACGAAATCTGCATGTTGAAATCTATGATGACTATTTCATTACACGATTTTGATTAGACTATGCATAGACTCGTCAGTCCAGCCAAATGTAACTGTGGAATTCCTGCCTAGTTGGCAAGGGTGAAAACTGTTAACTCCCTTGCCTCAGGAAGATGGGGCTAATCTGAAGTTAGAACCCGTGAAAAGTCTGCACGGTGAGCTATGGCCTGTAAGAGGACTGGACCACCAGTGCCCCCTGATTTAATAATCTATGGGTGATATAACAGTTATTTTACAGAATGAAAACATGAGAAATATGAATAAATGGAATCTGAAGTAATATAATGTGTCTTGCTGAGTTACATGCAAACTTTTACCATGTCATAAAATATTTTATAACTTAGAAAAAGGAAGTTTTGAGTCGAGAGCCTTCTATTGTAGAATATGATAATCATGAACTCTTTTTAATAAACAGTCTATCATCATGATCCTGTCCCAGCTAGCACACCTACATCGGGTCGACATTGGCAATTAATCGGCCACTGCTGGCATTATATGAATAGGGAAGCTGTTTTTTTCTATGCTGTTATTTACTTATGGCAATTGTTAAGTCAAAAGTTTATTAGTGTAAGTATTCAAAACAGATATCTTTTAGTTGTAAATCTTCACAAATATAGAAAAATGCTAATGGTAAATGGTGACATTATTGAGTCATGAATATCAAATACAAGAAAATTACAAACGTGTCTAGTTTCAGCCATGACAACAGTAACCATGTCATTAATATAACTGATTCATGTTTGGATTTAACATATTTATTTTACAGTATCACACGTCCACAAACAGAAGAAATCTTGTTCTGAGAGAATGTTTATATGTTGTGTGTGCACTAGCTTCAGCAAAAGCAACGAATAACCATGTGGAATAGTTTCAGCAAATACAGCAATAATTTCATCACTACAAGATTCATGTGTGGCTTTAAACAAATATTTTCTGTATTAAATCAACATAAGCAGAAGAAATTTTGTTTGGAAACAATTTTAATATTTTGTCAGGACACTCATTTCTGTGTCAGACCAGATAGTTACGAGTTACCAATTTCAGCAATTACAGCAATAATTTCATCACAACAAGTTTTATATGTGAATTTAAAACCTTATTTTAGCATATAAAATCAATATAAGCAGAAACTCTTTTGTTTTGAAACAATTTTTACATTGTGTCTGTACACTCGCTTCTTTGCGACATACCTCACATCACATTTCATCAGAAGTTGTTACTGTAGCATAATTTCAGCCAATACAGCTAAAATTCAATCATAACAATTTTTATTTATGGATTTAAACAATTGTTTTATAGTATTATATCTATATAAGCAGAAGAAATCGTGTTCTGGAAAATTTTACATTTTGTCTCTGTACTCACTTGTGTCACATCACATTTCAGAAAGTTGTTACTGTGACATAATTTCAGCAACTACACAAAAGATTTCCTCATAACAATATTCGTGTGGGTATTTAAAACAATTGTTTTAGCATAATAAATCAATCTCAGCAGAAGAAATCGTGTTTTGAAACAATTTTTACATTTTGTCTGTACACTCACTCCTGCGTCACATCACATTTCAGAAAGTTTTTGCTGTGGCATATATAATTTCAGTAACTATAGCAATAATTTTATCATCACAATATTCCTGAATAAATTCCAACCCAAAGGGGAAACCAGGAAAGTAGAGAAACCAGACATGTGAAGAACTTGGTTTTATTTTGTACAAAAAACCGAACACTTCTATGTCCGCTTCACTCACTTTCCCCGCCTGACATCGAAACAGTTGATAGAAATCTCTCAGTTACACGGATAACTTGACATAACCAGTATATTTCCTATATCAGCGCTTGGTAGACGAGGGCCTTCTTGGCGTCTGTCATGTCGACGTCCTCCCCGCTGATCAGACTCATCGTCACATTGTAGTCATGTAACAGATACCCAACACTAAACACGGGGACAAGAGGTTCCCGGAACACCTCATCATACTTGACAAGAACAATCCCCCTGTCCAAGTCAATGAAGGCCACTCTCCCCCTCCCCACATCCAGCACCACGCCATAGTGGAGGGTGGCCTGTGTGCCAATAGTGTCGGACATGGTATTCTGATGACACTCGCCCTGCTTCCTGTCCCGACACACCCTGGTACATAGACTCTCCCCGTGACTGCCACATCTCGCTACACGGACACCCCAGGAGCGAAGCTGGTGAGAAATCCAGTACCCTCTGTCCACCCATCCTGCCTCCACGACCCCCATCTCCAGGGCATGCCGCCACACTCCATCCATCACAACCCGCACCCTGCTCTTTGTCTCCCAGTATGTGGATGTGGTGGGGAGGGTGAGGGTGGAGGGGGGTGGAGGAAGGGGGATGGGGGAGCTGCAGGTACCCATATACTTCTTTAGCCTGTTCTGCCCCTCATCCCCTGTGTCGGGCCACGAGTTGACCAGCTCACCGTCTGTAGTTACGAGGCAGTGTTCTGTGTTGGCCCGAGCTGCGTCCAGGTGAAGTTTCGGACCTGGAAATAAACATTGTATTTGTTGTGTAGCAAGTTTATTTCACTGCTTGTTACAAACTGAGACACAGAAAGAGATTTACTGAAAATATCGGCTGATGGTTTGCTTGTTTCCTAACAGCGCGCTGAATGTTCGTCTGTGTTTTTCATCAGTACAGAATATCTCCCACAACGGCGCTTTATTAGCGCGCTAATTATGATGTAAAACTATTACTACGAGAATTTAAAATTCATTTAATTAAGAAACAAATGGATAAATTTACCGAAAAATGAAATATAAAAGATTTTTTGGTACACTTTTTATTTACCCCCATAGTGCAGATATCTGCCAGACGTGGACGATGTTCGTGTATGAAATACGATCTCAGTGAATGAATTTCCCAACAAAAGTGTTTGTGTGTGGATTCTGTATGAATCTTTACGGAATAGGTTAAAAATAAACTGAAAGGTATCGTGTTTTAGGAAAGTTTGGACATTTTTGTGTTCATCACCCACCACATGAACAGGTATATTCTATGTCCGCTTCAGTCATTTACACCGTTACACCGTCAAATTCTGTTAGTTGCCATGTATGTGTGTCGGTGTGTGTGTGTGTGTGTGTGTGTGTGAGAGAGAGAGAGAGAGAGAGAGAGAGAGAGAGAGAGAGAGAGAGAGAGTGTGTGTGTGTGTGTGTGTGTCTGTATCTGTGTGTATCTGTTAAGTTAAGGACAACATTGTTTAAATTTACTTTGAGCGTCTCGCATTATGTTTTTAGTGTTACCGATAGATCGCAACGCAGTATTTTCTCAGAATTTAGATTGGCACATTACTTCTCGGTCGTTGCTAAAAGCCCCGAACTCCCATATGAAATCCTACATGTAAGAAATGTAATGCTTACAGTATTGAAGACGAAGTGCATTTTCTGAAAACGTAATCGTTAGTGAGACTTCAGAATATATTTTGTGAACTGGGCCTTGTCTACAAATCCAAATTTCATGTTTTTATCTCCTACGGGTCAGACCATATGCATTATGCATACGGTGTGATTATTTATGTATTTGAAATAATTGATTGATCTTATTGAAAATACACCTCGACTCAAACACGTGTTGCTTTTGGTGTTGGAGTTCGATAAATTAAGATGACAGTTATCTCACAGAGCTCAAGATAAGCTGCGTTTTTGGCACAGATCAAGCGAGTGTAGGTCAATATCATAGCGAAGGGTCATGTAGGTCGCGAACACCTGGTTTCAGTGACACATTATAACTGCACCCACCCCCTCCGTCTCCCAATGTGTTGAATAAAACCCTAACATATTTCATGATTTAGCAGACATAATTAAAAAAAATAATATTTTTTTTAGTTTCAGCAAGAACAGTAAATGCGCTATCCTGTCACCAGGTATTCTGGTCCATCACCTGATTGTCTGGTTTGTTTACAGGCCGCTGTTGTATGCCAGGAGTACTGTTTCAGGGAGTCAGACAATAATTATTTTTTTATGTAAATTGTGTGAGTGGCGGGTGAGTGACTTGCTTACCCTTTTCGCGAACACCTTGTGTCATGATTTCAGTGATCCATTCATCATTATCAGTCACTCATTCACTCGTTCCCGGAAATACTCACATGAAATCAGTTTAGGTTGACATGTCAGTCCAACAATGTGTACAGTACTTCCATAATCTGAAAGGTGAGAGCCAAATATCTTTACACATTTTGGTACTGGCTGCTTTGATGGAGTAAAAGTTTATAGAGATTAAATATTAATAATTAAACTAATCACGACATTACATAGACGGTGACAGATTGGGGTGTAATATTTCGCATGGACACAATCACATTGAAAACAGCACACAACAAATGTTTATCTATCAGGTGCTCATAAATGTTTTTTGTGACGCAATGCAACGGCTATGTGCCGTGGGTATGCTGCAAACAGGATCTGCGCAAAACAAAGTTATCAGACACTTTCATGTTCATCAATATCATCTCCGACATGGCAACACACGAGACATACCTCGGGCCGGTTGGAAACGTGTGAGGTTATGTCAACAAGCCAACCGTTTTCGGTTGGTGCATGTACGGAATCGATACCAAACTGCTACATAAACAGTTCGGACAACTCCTAGGTTGAGACCAATTAGTGACAGAACCATACACAGCCGTTTGTCATGGCCTGCTGATTCTCCACACCTCTTCCCAAAGGAAAATGCCTGGGATGAGATGGAACGACGCTTACAACAGTAACATAACCAGACGGTACGATATAGCTAAGTTGGGCCCAATCTTTGGTAGACATTTTGAACAACAACCCCATGGCTGTTTTCAATCATCTCGTGTCTTCAATGTGCAGCCGCTGCCTCACCTGTATCAAATGGTGGTCCAATATTGACAGTGTTAATTAAGCTGTTATACCACCCCTATTTTAGTATGTGTCGCTATGTTTCCCGTTACCACGTATGGTATTTGTCAATGAATTTGTTATAGTAAATCACTGATCAAACGAATGACTACAAAGTGTGTTGTTATTTGCAATAACATAACATTTTCACCATTTTATATGAAGCCTCCCTGGTCTAGTAATAGAGCGTAGTAGAGCGTCCGCACAAAGAGCGGAAGGTTTGGTGTTCGATCCACGGCCGCGTCATACAAAAAAACCGGTAAAAGATGGAACTTGTTGTTACCCTGCCTCGCACTCGGCATTAAGGGGCTTAAACAAGTGAGGTATTCATGTTAAACTGCGTCATGGTATCTCAGTGGGCGAGCACTATAAAACAGGCATCAGCCTGGACTAGTACAAGCAGCCACACACACACAGAGACGTGAATGCACGTCGCTTTATAAGTGCAATAATCTTGGACGCGACGTTACTGTGTCTGAGTGGGGTATTCATGTTAAACTGCGTCATGGTATCTACACATTAACCTTTTTTCAGTTAATGATTACTGTGTACTGTACACTACTGTTTTAATATCTGACACTATCAGACACTATCAACTAGTACTGTATGGAATCTGTGAAATACCACTTTGCGATGCAATACCTTGTACCGTAATATTTGTGTCAGACAGTAAGGTTATGTATTGAAACAAAACTACACGTGAACGATAAACACCTTTGATGTTGGGACACTGCTCCTTGTTAGCAGTTGTATAACAAAACAAAGTCCATCATAATAGCATCATCGATATACATGTATGTATACAGTGCATGTTGGAAACTTCAATAAGAACAAAACATCTTCTTCGATAGGCATTTAGAAGTTGGAGTACTAATAAAGGATAAGATTTATGGATGAACATCTTCTTTATTACCTACACCGAAACATCGTTCTTAAGTGTAATAAAGAAGTTGTCCATCCATTAATGTTATCCTTACTTAAGAACAAAACAATAGAGATTTGTCCATAAGCATTATCACCTAACTGTACAAACCTTTTTCCAGACTATCGTTCTTTGCTTTCAGTTCTGTGAGTTGCTGCTCGTTTTCCCTGATTATCTACAAGATAAAATAATCCAGCAACGTGTTGCCATGTTTTACAGGATGTCATAAAATCCTTGGTTGTACAGAAATCAACCAAGAACTGACAGTGACACTATTCAGGCAGCTGTTGAAAAGTTGAATGTAGGATGACATTCCTTGAGTATTGAGACATAACACAAATGGGATCAACACATGAGAAAGATAACCATCATATTTCCGTCTAAACTTATACCCTGAAAGTTTACCCTGCTTATGGGACAGCTTGCAGACGTGTAGGTCCCCCCTCCCAGCCCCTGTTGCGCAATTCTTATAACACGCAGATTTTATGTTCGCTTCATTTTGTCCTCATTCAAACGACAAAGACATTTCTTTGAGTGGCATTTAGAAGTTGGTGTGATGAAGTAAGACGAGTTCTATGGATGAACAACTTCTTTATTACAATTAGTGCGACGTTTCGGTGTAGATCCTAATACCTTTATCAAGCAAGTGATGGACTCGTCTTACTTCGACAAAGACATTCATGGAGTGGCTGTTTGGGGGGGATATGTTCTTATCCTAGGTACATGTTGGTCGTCAGGTCCATGATAGATTAGATATCTGTTTTTCTATTGATATTTGTCCCTGCTATTTACCTCCATTGCAATTGCAGCCAGGTGGTTTTCTGTCAGTCGTCCTTGTTGGTATTGCCTCAGCTGGTGAATCAGAACGGGAGCTCTTGTGTGTCGTTTAGATTCCTGTTCTGATAATTACCAAAAGAGAAAATAACTCATGAAATATTTTGTGACCTATATCTATCAAACGTATAAAACGTATCAGATAAACACTGGGTAGCTGGCAATTTTCTGGATGAATGGAGAACAAAAGCGTTAGTTGAAGATGGTATGTCATGGGCATTTGCATTACACACTCAATGTAGTTGCTGCTAACTAAATAAATCTTTCTTTCTCATACTTTATTTCTTCATTCTTTGCATAGACAGAAACATGATCAAACCCTGTTTGATGAGATGTCCCCTTTTCTTGCATATTTTACTTCTCCATTCCTGGCGTAGACAGAAACCTGTTCAAAACCTTTTGGTCTCAAGTCCTGTTTCAAAGCATAGTTTACGTCCCGATCTCTGACAGAAACAGATACACGTTAAGAACCTTCAGGTAATAAGCTCCCCTTCTTCAGATATTTTATGTTGTCTCCTTCGCCACATACAGTGACACATTCAACTCCAACTGGTATACAGTCCTGTTGTGTCACGTAGCGGACGTCCACATCCTTGTGATAGACAGTTACACGTTGTGATTCTGGGAGTATTTCATCTCCACAATAGTCACATAGTATCATGACACATGGGCATCCCTGGTTACATTTCACAAATTGAGAGAGGGAGACGAACTTACTGTTAATATAAACTCATATCGAGGCACTGCACGGCGATGTCTGTCAAACTGCGCCGCAAGTAATGCGAATATTGATTTATATACACGCACCGTCACCCAGTCAAATCATCACGTGATACACAGCCAATAAATGCACAGATACCCTATCAACAAGTAGGTGAATCTGACCCGGGCTTGCAATGACTAAAAGGCCAACAGTATTATAAAGAGTAGAACTCACAGGACGTTATACCGTAATTTAGACGAAGAGGCTTGGTATAAAAATGTACTTTAGTATGTGACTGTCCTCCAGTCAATGGTTTGTTGTTAACCAGACTAAGTTTATGTACTCCTAAAACGTATTGCAAACAGTTGCAATATAATACAATTGACACAAAATGCTTTCAGTATTCTTAATAATTTCCGTATTGTCACGTGAGACGCCCCAACAAACTGTTGCTAATTGACACGTACATTAAACCCTTTCCACTCTCTTGAGAATATCTTCTTTCGTTCTAACAATATTTTATTTAAAGCGGTATATTATATAGCAATATCAATGTCTCCAACATTGTATTTAACTGCAATCACATGTACCTTTTTTTCCAAGCTGTCAAATATTATGTTGCTTCTATATGTATAGTTTGGGAATACAGAAAATATACAGAAGTTTTATATGAATTTCTTGGACCTAAAACTACATAATGAAGAAAATGTAAATTTGTGAAACCAGGTTTTCATGTCAGCAATTCCAATGCAGTTAACGTCTTCATAGTTTTCGTAAATTATCTAATCAGTTAATATAAATGAATTATAACATGAATATGATTTAACACAAAAGGATAGTTTAAATGAATACTTCAGTATGTTATTGTTTGATAAAGTATTGTTTATATCTAAACTTTAGCAGTGCGCCACATACCTTTAACACTACAGAGTATATAATACTTTTGATGAATAACTACAGGGGAAAGAGCACACAACAACAACAACAACAAATAAACAAACACACAAAGCAATTCGATACCTAGTCTTGGAGTTCCTCTAAAAGTGATTGGTTTAACTCTTCTGCACATCTGATAAAAGATGTTGTGTAAACATTTAACATATTATTATCATGTAATAATGCTCAAATAGAATATTCACAAATTTTCTGTATAAAAAACTTGCAACATACATATGCTTCTCTAACGTATTATCTGGTGGTAGGCGCTTATCAGTATTGCTCACTGTCCTGTATTGACACGCGAGGACAGCACCTTAAGCTTGAACGTGACATGGCTGACAGACAGACATGTCTGTGTACTGTCTCAAGCGAGGCATAGACATTCCCCAGTTACTGCCTATTCTTGTTCTAGACGTATTCTCCTCCGAAAACGACCATTCCACCAAAAACATCCATTAACAAAGAAAGTGTCACTCTTGCTTCACATAAATGTGTATACCTACCCTAACACTATAAATGGTTGATTCTTTTTGTTCATGTGCTATTTCTTATCTTGGGTAAGGTTTCTCTTCCCCGGCCTCACCTTATTTGTGTGTAACTAATTATGCATACGCATGTTGAAGTTCGTATGTTAAAGGTTGAAATTCGTTTAATCTATTTGAATCATAGAAAGGGTGTACAAAACTGTGCTGTTTCGTTGTTTCCGTCTTAAACCAAACCAAGTGCTGGAGGTGAGGTGAAATGGGTTTTAACGTCGCGTCCAAGATTATTGCACTTATAAAGCGACGTGCATTCATTCCTCTGTGTGTGTGTGGCTGCTTGTACTAGTTCAGACTGATGCCGGTTTTATAGTGCTCGCCCACTGAGATACCATGCTGCAGTTTAACATGAATACCTTACTCAAACACAGTGTACTGACTCCGAGCCGACCAGTCCTTGTTTTAGCCCACTGAGATACCATGCCGCAGTTTAACATGAATACCTCACTCAGACACAGTATACTGACTCCGGGCCGACCAGTCCTTGTTTTAGCCCCGTAATGCCGGGCGCCAGACAGAGTAACAACAAGTACCATCTTTTAATGTATTTTGGTATGACGCGGCCGGGGATCGAACCCGGACTTTCCGCTCTTCGGCTCTACCACTAGACCACGGAGGCGGTCCGCCAAGTGCTAGAATGATTACTAGTTTCCTCTCAGAGAGGTTGAATCCCCAATTTAATATTTAACATGTCACTTTATTGTGAGGCCATATTGCGTTTAAGACAAAGGCTTGCGACAGTTTGACGCAGTATAATTGATAAATGCTACTGAGCTTATGTTGTAACCCGGGGACTCTTATCGACCAGCAAAAACATCGACTCAGTTCACATAAATATGAAACGTCAATGCCAGAGAATAACCAGTCTCGATTATCCAACAAAGCAGATTCCGTTAGGTCTAAAAGACAAATGGTGATGACAATTATATGAATTGGGCACTGAAAGTATACGGGTACGCATGTCCTATTCTACCTTGCCACTCACACAATTTGCATAAAAAAGTGTTTGTTCGTTGCCTAACGCCGCAGTGCCAGAGCCATACGACAATGGCATGTAAGCAAACAAGCGGTAGTAGACCAGACAACCCAATGACCCGACAGCGCATTTACTGATTTTTCGTAACAAGAAAATGCGTGACAAATATCACAGTGCAAAGTCTACACTACGTTGTCAGGTTATAACAACCGAAGTTACCAATTGCATTGAAATCAATATCTGCCGTCTCACATTCATATGTTGTAAAGGGGCGATCTTACCACCTGTACGCAGTCTAAACAGAGGCCAGATAAGGTTTTGAAAAATATACTCCTCACAAAAGGTTAAGCAACAAATCTATTATGTGTCAGTCCATGTTCATATATTCCAATACCTGAAAACTGACTAAAGCAATACAAAGAAAGAGCACAAACACACATTGTTCTCAAAGGGAACTGAAAAGCGTTTATGCCTTACAGGTTTAGAAATGATCAAAAACAGTATCATGAAAACAGTCGTCAATGTGCTGCACTGAAATTTGAGTTTAAGTCATTTTGAAACAATGATCCAATGTTCAGTAACGTGTATGTCCACCATTGGCTTGAATGCAGGCTTCTACGCGTCTTGGCATTGACCAGATAAGCCTATCAAGTGTCTTTTGTGGAAGGCCTGTTCAAGTTGATCCAGATTCTGAGTATGAACATGAAGACCATAAACAATAAATGTCCCATGCATGTTCAATGGGATTAAGATTAAGAGACCTTGCAGGCCAGTCCATATGCGTGATGTTGTTGGACTGAAGAAGATCAGTGACAACTCTTGCTCGATGTGGACGAGCATTATCATCCATAAAGATGAAGTTAAGACCTGCTTGTTGTGCCAGGGGAATGATCACAGTTGTGACAATCTCGTCCCTGTACCGTACTTCAGTCATGGTACCACGTCTGATGACCACAAGATCAGTTCTGTGTCCAACCCTGATGCCAGCCCAGATCATCAAACTTCCACCTCAATACTGGTCGTGCTCAGCAATTGTACAGTTGGCGTATCGTTCATTACGGTTTCTCCACACACGTGCCCTACCATCGTTGAAGTCAAGGCAGAATATTGACTCGTCTGTGAAGAGAACGTTACGCCAGCGATTGACCCTCCAGTTACGGCGTTGATTAGCCCAAGCAAGTCTCTATTGTCGATGGTGTGCAGGCAGTGGGATGCGTCGAACAGGTCGTCTGGATCTCAGATCCTGAGCGTGAAGTCTGTTTCTTACTGTCTGTGTTGAGACTCTGTTTCCTGCAACTCTCTGAAGGTCATTCTGGGGAGATCTGGCCGTAGTAAACCAGTTTCTCCGGGCTAGGGTGGCTAAATACCGGTCCTCACGAGGAGTGACCTGTGCGTGGTCTCTCTGTCATCAGTCCAGTTTGATGGTATCGAGTTATCGCTCTTGAGATGACACTGCGGTGAACATTAAAATGATTGGCAACAGCAGTTTGGGTACCATTCCAACAATCTAAGCAACCTCAGTTGGCGTTAAGTGACGCCTAGCCATGTCCAAAGTGTTAATGTCGACAAAATGCCCTTGCTGGCAGTTTTTAAGCAATCAGGGTGCATGGGTGAAGTGCGTAAAACATGCATGTCGTGCATTTTGCATGTGTGTTTTGAGGGTGGTTGTGTTCGGGCGATGTTATCCGTGTTATCAGGAAAATCTACATGGAAAAGGCTTTAAGTCGAGTATTTGTAGGTAATTCTCCTGCCTGAATTTGTTCTCAATGGATGGCATTCAACACTGATGAGAATGTTGCACGGAAAATAATACTTGTTGCTTAAGTTTTTGTGAGGAGTATATAACTGACAGTAAGAAAGGCAAATGTATTAGTAAAATAAATCCCCTATCTTTGCGAAGTCACTATGGGGAGCTGTGAGATTATATTATTGATAAATCGCGCCTGGTTCTTATATTGTTGTATAATGGAACAATGGAACAGTGAGACATGTCGCGTTATCCCGATTTGCTATAAGTTTCAAAATATCGCGTTTTCGTCCTTTCATGCTCTTTTAATTCGAATGTATCCGCTTGCGCGTAAATTGACTGACTGAACGTAAAATGGTTGAATAGATCGTTGGGTTTAAGATTTTAATATCTGTGTGTACCGCACCATTTGAATACTTGCTCTTGCATATGATTAGTGCATGAATGACTGTATACTAGCACAGGCGGTAAGTACTGTAGGAGAAGAAGGTTTTTTTCAGTATGTACATACGTGGGGCACGGGTGGCCCAGTCGTCTAAGGCGGACACCGCAAGTCGCTGTGTAGAGTCGCGTCCCTTGGGGATACCAGAAACCTATGATTCTACTTCTCGGTTCTACTGATATCGCTCTTAGGTTTGTCAGCACCATACCCGTGCTCGTGGGTTTCATTAAAGTTCTAAACGTCAGAGAGCTGCATCACTTCGGGCTTCCCTCCCACATTAAGCTGACACGTCGTGATATGACTGGCGTAAAACTCTACTGACTGACTCAGTATGTGTGTGTAGGCCAAAGCCCCATGTACAGCAATAGTGCATTTTGCGTTATATATGCCCTTGATGGTGGCTTGATTTTACATGTGAAGTTATGTCGTTTTGGATATTTAA